CCCAAGCCGGGCTCTGCACGGACAGCGAGGAGCCTGCTTGGGGTTCTCTCTTGCCTCTCTGCCCCTCCCCCCACGCACTCTCGCGTGCAGGTGCGTTCTCTCTCTCCCTCTCAAAATAAATAAATACACATTAAAAAAAAGAAAGCAAGCAAGCAGTGGTATCTGGGATCCCTCTTACAAGACGAGGGTCACGAGCCCTTTCCCTCGAATACCTTAACTCCGAGCTCTGAAGGCCGTAAGTGAGCACAGACTGCCGAGAAGGTAAGCTGGTGTTTGTCAGCTTACTGTCCCCATCCGAAGATGTGTACGCATCAGCTGACCTCTGAGGCAGGGAGGTGGCCGCCCAGAGGTGCCTTAGTTCTCCATCCGATGGCCCCCAGTCTACCCACTCTTCAAGGTCATTAAAAAGGTAACACGACAGGAGTGCCTGGGTGGCTCGGTCGGTTCAGTGTCTGACTTCGGCTCAGGTCATGATCTCACAGTTTGTGAGTTCGAGCCCCATGTTGGGCTCTGTGCTGACATCCTGGAGCCTGCTTCTGATTCTGTGTGTGTGTCTCTCTCTCTCTCTGTCCCTCCCCTGCTCACACTCTCTCTCTCTCTCTCTGTCTCTCAAAAATAAACAAACATTAAAAAAATTAAAAAAAAAAAAAGATAACACGACAGAGCCTCAAAGAAAAGTCCCTCCAGGAGAACTCAGGCCTGGAAGTGAACAGAGAATAAATTCCCCCTTGTCTGGTCTTTCTCTTACATGCTTATCAGGTATTTTCTTACAACCAGGTTGAAACAACAGTAGTAAGAGAGGGAAAACTAGCCCTCGTCTTTTTATTTGTTTTAAATATTTATTTTATCTCTACACCCAACGTGGGGCTCGAACTCAGAACCCTGAGATGAAGAGTCGCACGCTCCTCTGAGCCAGCCAGGTGCCCCTAGCCCTCTCCTTTTTAGAAGGGGTCCCAAAGCGGCCCCCTTCAACTCCTAGGAGTGTCTTCGTCATCAGGGTGCAGAACCTGAAAGCTGAAACCAGACTGAGAGATAGAATTAGGGCAGTTTCAAGATGCTCTGATGTAAGCCCTTTTCGGCCAGGGCCCACAGCCTGGAAAAAAAGAGAAGCAAGGTTTCTCAGGACCAAGAACAGGGCTCCCACCTCCTCAGAGCCACAGCAGCCACAAAAAATCCCCCGAATGTCAGGCTGCTGGCTTCAAAGACAAAGCTTGCCAAGGCTGGGCCGCCCAGAGGGAAAGGGGTACAGGAAAGATTTGCAAGTTAACGGTAAACAAATCTGGTCACTTGTCTTCAAACCCCTGAGTTTGATCTTACTTCATTCGCACATTTGTAGCTGTAGGCCCCACTCCTAGCCTGCCCTCACGCTCCGGGCAGACAGCAGCCCCCTTCCCGTTCGAAAAAAGGAACAGCAGCAGAAACATAACGCGGTTCAGGCTCATCCTGAACCGGATCTTCAGAAGAGCCCGGCAAGATCGAGTCAGGAGTCTGCACGACTAGGGGCCCGACACGCTAACACTACCACTACCCGGCACGGAAACCGCCCACTGCGCACGGCGCGCAGGGAGGCTGCTGATTTAACACTGAAGCAAACTTAAACACGTTGCCACTAACCCCTGAAACAAATATTTAACAAACTCCTGCAGCTTCTCCTTTGGGCTCACTTGTTCATGTCAACTGTTCTCTCACAGACCTGCTGGGCTTGCCAGGAATTCCTATGGTGTTGGAAGCAAAGCTTTTAAACATAAACTAAAGTGAGTGAGCCCCAGGGGGACCAGGGGCCCGTTCAGAACGGCTGTGCTGGCCGAGGTACCTGGAGCCCGGACCCAGAGTGACTTCCTGTGACCTCGCAGCCAGCCCGAGGTGGCTTCTCGTAAACCTGCCCTCTTTTCCAGATGCCCCTGGAAGGGGTTGGGAAGCATGAAAGTCACGCGAGATTGGCTGTGCTCTGCCCCAGACAGCTCTTAGTGATCTGGGCAGAGGCAGCCAGGGGAGAGAGCAGCTCCTGACCACTCTGGGCTCAGCACACTATGAGGACACGAGGCTGATACAGAAGGGTCCCCGCCTGGGCCGGGAGAGACCTGGAGGGCAGCATTTGGTCCACGCGGCGGACATCAGACGGAAGGTGCCCCGGGCCATGTCGGAGGCTGTTTACCTCTGCTGATGCGCTGTTTCTCTCCAGACAGGATCCCGGGAGTGTCGATGATGCTTATACTGTCCAGGACTGGGTTGGGCAGCTGCGCGCACATGAACCTGCACGAGAGCAAGAGCCCAGAAGAGAGACGTCAAGACTCGGTTATTGGTGCTCTAGATGTGACAGTGGGGCATTCCGTACCCCTTCCTCTCCACCTCTGCCCTCCTTTCCAGAAGCAAAGAATGTCAAGGTTTTCTACACTCTTGGTTTCCAGGGGTGGCCATGGAACAGCTCATTCTCTTAACTGGGAATCCAACCAGAGGCTCAGACTGGCCTACATCAGCACTTTCCCCACGCGAGCTTTGTCCCCAGGGTTTAGGAGTTCAGCTTTCAAGTTGCTGATACGGTATGAAAAGTGCACGAGCCTGGGTCACCATTCAACTCCAGAAGGGAAACAGAAGGGGACCCTGGGACCCTGGAATTCTGTATTAAAATGTTCAACCACTTGGCTGAATTTCCATATATACCGAAGGCAGTGAGAGGCTTTCTTACTGCTGCTGGGCCCAGCTGCCTGGGTGAAGGGATAGCCGTGGGAGGCGGGTAACAGCTGGGGGACACATGGGCTGGAGCCGGGGGGCCGGTGGGGGGGGCGG